ATGAACACAAGGACAAATCTGTGTCAGGCCAGAGAATATTGCAGAACAGGCTCTGGGTGACCCAGGTTTGGAGCCATAGGCACAGTACAGTGAGGCTTTCTATAGGCTCATATTTTGTACTCACTCTTGCTGGCAGGGTGGCAGTGGTATTCCCATTTTGTGGATGAGAAAGCTGAGGTTCTGTGGAATGGACCTATAAGCTAGTAGAGTGTTCTTACATCTTTTGCCATGGCCTTTGCTTTCATTCAGTTTATTTCGTGCTGTGAGGTAGTTGCTGGTACTGGCCATGTTGTGTAAATGAGGAAAGTGAAGTGCTGAGGTGTGAAGCACCCTGCCCAAGGTCGCACAAACTGTGACTGATTGAATGAGAGTCTGACTTGAGTGTGAAGAGTCTAGCACAGCTGAGAGCTCGTCCAGGGTGGATATTTCAAGAGTCCTGACCTTCCATCTTAGCTCTATGGGGGCTCATCCCCTGCACATCTCACTGGCCTCTCCTATATCAAAGGGATTTTCTGGAATGTTCTTGACCGTGCTCTGAGGAACACTTGAGAGGCAGATCCCAATCAGGGCTCAGATTTGTGGCTTCAGTCATGAAAGAGACTGGTCACTGGAGGACAGTGAGGCCTGCAGCCAGTCCTGTTTACCACCTCCTGTAGGTCCTCAGGCCGCCCCCGCACTTGGCAGCCCCAGACCAAGGTCCTCAGCCTCCCTGCCTCATCTATTATAGATGCTGAGGAGCCAGGCTTGTTACACAAGACCTGTTTCTATGAAAGCCTCCAGGAGCTACTTCTGTCCTGGATCAGAGAAGGGCCAGAGAGGGGACACGGAGCTGCCAGGAAGAGCTGGCCGTACTGTTTTATCACCCTGATAATTCCTGTCACTGTCCTGGGTGGTATGGGAGGGGTTCTAATACTTTGTTGCTCACCCTCCTGCCCCCCCATGCCCCTCCACACTTTCATCTTCATCTGCTACCCTGGGGACCACTCACCCCCAAGGGCTGGGTTATTTTAAGTAATTTGCTGGGAACCAGACATCTGCTGGGCCTTGTCCTAGGAAAGGGCTCTGGGTAGAGGATGGGTAGGTCCAGCCTCAGCAAGAAGGTTTTTAGTCGTTTACATTTTTATGGGAATTTTAGTGCCCCACCCCCTTTCTCACTGGCTGAATAAGGCAAGCTTAACATAGACTAGCCGACATTAAGGAGCAGCTCTCAGAGGGACTGTCCTGGGACTCCACCCTGGAAGGCACAAACCAATGGCATTGGGTTACTTTGGTTCTTGCCACAAACCTGTCTGTCAGCCTGGTGTCTTTAATTCGGAGAATGGCTCTTTAAGCAACCCACCCTGCAGGATTTTGTTAGAAGAATTTGATGCCGATTTCTTGCCACCCAAAGATTAGATAAATGGAAATAATCAATCCTTAAAAAAAGTAATAGAAAAATTCTAAAAATCCCCATCCTTTCCTTTGTATATCCACTGGTATCTTCTGAGAACTCACTTTATTTAGTATATGTGTGTGTATATGTGGGTGTGTATTATGTGTGTGTATGTATGTATGTGTGTGCACATGTGTGTATGTATGTGTATATATGGGTGTATGTGTACATGTGTGTATGTATGTGTATATTTGGCTGTATGTGTCTAACTATGTATGTGTGTTTAAGCATATGTATGTGTATATATATGTATGTGTGTGTATGTATGTATATGTGTGTGTATCTTTCCAAGTGTCATCTCCTGGGTCAGCAACTGTAACTAGAGTGCCTACAAGACATGAGAGACACCAGGTGTTCTTTCTTTCTTTCTTTCTTTTTTTTTTTTTTTTAAGATTTTATTTATTTATTATGTATACAGTCTTCTGCCTGCATGCCAGCAGAGGGCACCAGATCTCATTCAAGGTGGTTGTGAGCCACCATGTGGTTGCTGAGAATTGAACTCAGGACTTCTGGAAGAACAGTCAGTGCTCTTAACCGCTGAGCCATCTCTCCAGCCCCAGGTGTTCTTTCACTTTATAAACTTTGTAAAGAAAGAGAAGCTGGGCTTGGCAGCACAGGCCTATAGTCCCAGTTACTTGGGAGGCTGAGTCAATTTCAAGTTTAATGCCAACGTAATTTATCAAAGTAAGAAGTAAAAAAAAGGCCAAGATGCCACCTGGTGCTACTTGGGAGGCTGAGTCAATTTCAAGTTTAATGCCAACGTGGGTAATTTATCAAAGTAAGAAGTAAAAAAAAGGCCAAGATGCCACCTGGTGGTAGAGTGTTTGCCTAACATGCAGATGCCAGATCCAGAGAGAGAGAGAGAGAGAGAGAGAGAGAGAGAGAGAGAGAG